CTCTGTCTCTCTCAGGAAATGAAAGTTAAAAAAAAAAAAAAGTAAAAAAAGCAAAACTAAGTAGCTGTATTACCACTCCTTGAAAGCACACCGTAGAGCTCGCACTGCAGTCACCAGAGCACAACGGCGGGCATGGGCGTCTGTGCACCCTTGCTCCCCGGTGTCCACAGCAGCATCTGGGCCACAGACCGTGCCCTGTGAAGGCAAAGGGGAAACAAGACACAGAACAAACCACCTGGCTGTCGTCGTGGGGCAAAGAAGTCTGTCACACTCGAATTCAGCCAAGGAAGTTGACTGGAAGTGGAATAGAAAAAGCAGGCACGCGGACACGTTTGAACTAAGTCTGTGCCTTTTCGTTGTGGATTTGGAACTTTAGTTATGAAGAGCAGGGCTCTGGCCTTCCAGTCAATGGCTCCCTAGTTTTCGTGCAATGGCATTGAGGACCAGCTGCGGGAAGTTTGCAGGATTTGGAAGGAAACGCCAGTTCAGATCGGGGATCTACACTTTTTGAGCCCTGGATAAAGACTTTATTTAACCTCAGGCAATTCTATAAGCTTCTGTTTTCTCATCTATAACACAGGACGATGTTTCTTTTTCTTCTTTTTATTTTTTTAGAGATTTTTGCTATAGGCCACATGTATTCACTGGAGAGATAGAGAGAGACAGAGAAAAATCACCCCCCCTGGTGGGGATGGCCAAGCCGCAATCCCTTCTCCTCCATTCTCCTCTTGGGATTGTTCTTGGCAGGCATGCACACACGCCTGGTGTGAGTTTTAAGCCTCATGCCCGATTCAAAATGTAATCAACTATGTGGGAATCCAGCAACGTAACTGTCACGCCGGCTGCCGGTCTCTCTAACAGGAATATGAACATTACTTTGCAGAGTTATCAGAAGGGTTTGAGAGAAGCTGTGGGCACAGCCCTGCCCTGTAGCAGAAATGCAGCGAAGTGCCACTGTTACTGTTTTGTTTTCATTCCTTCTAACTCTGTCACACTCTCAGGCAGTAATGTTTCTGGGTGGCGTTCCTAGCTTGTGAAACCTGCATATGTCCTGTAAATAAATAAACTTCTCCAGCTTTGAACACTAAATATAGAATACTCTTGTGGGCATGGGTAACTCACGTCAGCGTGGCTGTTTCCTGTCTGGGACAATCTCGTCCTTTATTCCGCATCTGCTCTCAGAATAGGGGTAAGGCCACTTACAGATCGGTAGTGAGGTTGCGTTTAAACAAATCTGTTCATGTGTCGTCCCCTCCACTCTCCGACAGAGTGAGCAGTTGTATTGGATCTCATACTCCCCACAGTGTCTCTCTGCCTCCACTCCCGCAGCCACTCTTCACCCCGGCGTTCCTGCTGGACTTGAGTCCTCAACACAACACATTTGAAGCATTGTAGTCACTGCATCCTTCATTCTATGGGGAACTTGATTTGATGGGGCAGCATGTATTTACCGCAAAAATAGTTAAGTCCGAAAATGAACAGTGTCTTCAGCGAACTTAGCGTTCCCCTCTGCAGAGAGGGCAGGGTGGCCCTGTTGCTGTGCATCGCATTTTGTCAGAGACAGCAATCTCAGCTGGAAGTCAGTTCTAACATCAACACAGGCCCTTGAGCTTTACGAAACATCTCCACAGTTGTAGCACATCCCTACACATGCCCCGTTCCCTCAGGGAGTTTTCATCTGAGGCTCCAGACATTGAGTTAATAGGGTTCACCATCCTCACTCTCTCGTTCTTCTAAGCAGATCTCCTAAGAGCCTTCATTTACACATTCTATTGCAATAGGGACTCTCACGTGAGAAATGTCAAATTATCACCCACATACTTTTTGTCACTTATTAGAGAAGTTTCCGTTGTCAAGTCCCCGCTTCACCTGGGAAGTCCATGAGCAGTGGGTCCCAGCGATCCCCGATCCCCGTGGAAATCCGACACCCTGGGAAGTCCCCGTGCGAATCTCCACCTGCAGGCGGAGAGGCCTCCTTAACCTCCTCCAGCTCCCTCGCGGTGTAGACAAGTCTGATCCTGTGTGGTGGCGGCCGGTTAAATCCGAGCAGGCAGTTTTCTCTGGCTTTGTGTCAGCCGTGCAGTGTCCACAGTGGAGCCGCTTTTCTAGTTCAAAGGAATTTTAAAAGCATTCTATTCTAGAATGGGCTTTCGTTTGGGGACTAAGGTCTTTAGAGAGAGCCCTTGCAGTTTTCTGGACCTGAACCTGTCTCTATGCTGGGTAAACAAGGTAGAGAGGCCAGCAGGTGGTGTGGTGGCTAAAGGCACCGGATTCCCACATGGCTGACTGAGGTTTGAGTCCCAGACCTGGCGGCTTGCTTTCTCACTCTCCCTCCCTCTGTCTCTCTGGTCAAATTAAAATAATAATGATAAGTAAAGTGAAATAAAATGATTCTTAAACAAACAAAAAACAAGGTGAAGGACTCTCGTTTCCCTTGGCCCCTTCTCTGTTTTCCTGCCCCCGGGAGTAACCAAGCCCAGGTCTGGGTGTGCCCTGCAGGACGCTGTTCTGGGACTCTAGTCAGGGATCCAGAGAATGAAGGAACTGTTGAGCAGGTTTTCCTGACCTCGTGGGTGACTGGGAGTAGTCTAGAGCCAGCCCCTGCTCGTCCCCTCCACTCTCCGACAGAGTGAGCAGTTGTATTGGATCTCATACTCCCCACAGTGTCTCTCTGCCTCCCCCACAGCCACTCTTAACCCCGGCGTTCCTGCTGGACTTGAGTCCTCAACACAACACATTTGAAGCATTGTAGTCACTGCATCCTTCATTCTATGGGGAACTTGATTTGATGGGGCAGCATGTATTTACCGCAAAAATAGTTAAGTCCGAAAATGAACAGTGTCTTCAGCGAACTTAGCGTTCCCCTCTGCAGAGAGGGCAGGGTGGCCCTGTTGCTGTGCATCGCATTTTGTCAGAGACAGCAATCTCAGCTGGAAGTCAGTTCTAACATCAACACAGGCCCTTGAGCTTTACGAAACATCTCCACAGTTGTAGCACATCCCTACACATGCCCCGTTCCCTCAGGGAGTTTTCATCTGAGGCTCCAGACATTGAGTTAATAGGGTTCACCATCCTCACTCTCTCGTTCTTCTAAGCAGATCTCCTAAGAGCCTTCATTTACACATTCTATTGCAATAGGGACTCTCACGTGAGAAATGTCAAATTATCACCCACATACTTTTTGTCACTTATTAGAGAAGTTTCCGTTGTCAAGTCCCCGCTTCACCTGGGAAGTCCATGAGCAGTGGGTCCCAGCGATCCCCGATCCCCGTGGAAATCCGACACCCTGGGAAGTCCCCGTGCGAATCTCCACCTGCAGGCGGAGAGGCCTCCTTAACCTCCTCCAGCTCCCTCGCGGTGTAGACAAGTCTGATCCTGTGTGGTGGCGGCCGGTTAAATCCGAGCAGGCAGTTTTCTCTGGGTGTGTGTCAGCCGTGCAGTGTCCACAGTGGAGCCGCTTTTCTAGTTCAAAGGAATTTTAAAAGCATTCTATTCTAGAATGGGCTTTCGTTTGGGGACTAAGGTCTTTAGAGAGAGCCCTTGCAGTTTTCTGGACCTGAACCTGTCTCTATGCTGGGTAAACAAGGTAGAGAGGCCAGCAGGTGGTGTGGTGGCTAAAGGCACCGGATTCCCACATGGCTGACTGAGGTTTGAGTCCCAGACCTGGCGGCTTGCTTTCTCACTCTCCCTCCCTCTGTCTCTCTGGTCAAATTAAAATAATAATGATAAGTAAAGTGAAATAAAATGATTCTTAAACAAACAAAAAACAAGGTGAAGGACTCTCGTTTCCCTTGGCCCCTTCTCTGTTTTCCTGCCCCCGGGAGTAACCAAGCCCAGGTCTGGGTGTGCCCTGCAGGACGCTGTTCTGGGACTCTAGTCAGGGATCCAGAGAATGAAGGAACTGTTGAGCAGGTTTTCCTGACCTCGTGGGTGACTGGGAGTAGTCTAGAGCCAGCCCCTGCTTTAAAGGAAAATGCAGCTCCATGGGGCTGAGCGTCTCGGCCAGACCTGCCGTGTCCAGAGCTTTCTGGGCCTTTCTCATCTCCTCCGACGCAGCCCTGCCCCGGCCATGTGGCCACTCGTGCTCTGCCCAGCCAAGTCTGAGGTTTGACTGGTGGAGAGTTAGTCCGAGCCCCCTCAGCACGCTGGCTCCAGACCCCACCGCGTCTCCGTGGGTCTGCTTGACTGGGTTCACCGATTGCTCCCGTGAGCTGACCCATGCCCTGCCCTCCCCCGGAGAGCTGCAGGAAGCGGGTGCCCTCCGCCACTGGAAGCCAGCTCGCGTACTCTGCAGCCTTCCGATGCTTACAACAGGTCTCGCTTCTCTTCTTCCTTTTTCAACTTTCTTTCTTTTTACTTATTATTATTATTTTGCTATAGTGCATGTGCTCACCAGAGAGACTAAAAGCAAGAAATCACCCCCCAGGGGAAATGGCCACGTCGCAATCCCTTCTCCTCCAGTCTCCTCTCAGGATTTTGGACACGTCTGCCCACGCACCCAGCATAAATTTTGGGCTGCCAGGTCCGGGACTGGAACCACGGTTAACAACGTGGAAGTCCTGTTCTCGGAGGAAGAAAAAGTAAACCCGTGAGGTGGTCATGTCTAGGGGCCCTAAACTTTCCCCAGCGTTATACACGATGCTCGTGTAGAGGCTGTTTTCAAAGAGCCCCGTCTGGCTCTCACACAGCAACGAGACAGTCTACAAGTGACGCCGGCTCTGAGTCCCTCGCCCAGGACCCCGGCTTCACCAGATCCAGGTGGAGGTCTTCCCCAGAGAGTGGCCTAGTCTGCTCCTCCACGCTCAATTCAAAGTCCACACTTTCCACAAATAAAGGTTTTTTATTTTATTTTTTTGGAAAAGATGTCTTAAGTTGGCTGCCTCCACCATCTGTTTTCACTGGAAACGGGCACTGTTTTTATTATCAAACATCTTTTAGCCTTGTGACCCGGAACAAAGGATCACAACAGTTGGAATGTCGTAGACTTAAAAACAAAAAAGCTTGCGTCCCTCAGCGTTTCCGGAAGTGACAGTGTCCACTTGTAGGTCTGCTCCGGTTGGCAGTGGTCTCAGCGGCTGCCGCGGACTCCCCTTGGAATCACGGCCGTGTGTTTGTCCTGGAACCCATGCGCTGTCCTGGGTTGTGGTGACAACGGCAGGGAGCTCCGGCCAGGTCTGCCCATAGTCTGGAGGTGAAGAAAATGTGAAAAAGAGAGACCTTAGCGCCCACTCTGCCGCTGTCTTTCTCGCTTGTGGAAGAAAAACAGAAACAAACTTTTAAAAAGTAACGATACATGTTCCTTACTGGTTAGGAAGCCACGTCTCACAGAGCTCACGTTGCCAGCCCCCAGCTTGAAAACCATATCTGGTGCTCCTGTGTGTGCCTGAAATCCTTCCCAGGATGGGGAATGGAGGAGATGGGGCTGCAGCACAGCCAGCCCCACGGGGGCAGGGGGGGTGCTTTCTCCCTTCTCCCCTTTTTCTCTTTCTGTCTCCCTGGCAAGCACATACACCCTCTGGAAAATGGAAAGAAAGAGAGACATGGGGTTGGCAGGCAGCCTGGTGGTTAAGGCACTGGACTCCCACGTGGCTAACCATGGTTCAAATCCCAGACCTGACGACTTGCTTTCTCACTCCACCCAATCCCTCTCTCTGTCGCTCTTTGGTGAGCGCACATGACCTATAGCGAATTTTAAAATAATAATAATAATAAATCAATAATAAAAACAGAAAAAGAGAGACAGAGGGAAAGGTAAGGTTTTAGGTCCCTGCTCCAGGCCTTCTAAATTGATGTTGTGGGGGAGGCTCCCAGAAATCTGTGCTTTCTGAGCCCTGTGAGCACGCCTGGGTTTGGGACCCATGGAGTTGTCATCTGTAACAGGCAGTCGGGTACCAGCGGAGCCAGGAGGTCCCCTGAGCACTCTCTCCTCCTCTCTGCCCCAGCATCTCATGGCCTTCGGGGAGCGTTTCAGAGACCGCACTTGCGCCTGCCTTCCAGGTGGGAGGAGAGGCCCGTCCGCCGTGGGCGGGGCGCATGAAGGAATCCTCAGAGGATGTGTCTGTGGCTCCTCCAGGGTGACTGGCACTGCCAGGCGGATGCAGCAAGGTGCATTCACGTGCACCTGCCCGACCTGGGGACCCGCCGTAGGAAGGACCGAGGGACTGGCCGACGTCCTGTGCGGGAACCCCTGCAGGACCTGTATAGGTCCTCCGAGACAGCGATGGGAGAAGCCAGGACAGAGCAGGAGCTGACAAGAACGCCTTCCCAGGCCCATGTTCCTGGGGTTGGCCTTGGGGTGGGGAGAACTCCCGGCCTGTGTGTGGGAAGGAGGAACCGCACCTGCTCGGATTTGTGTCAGCAGCCCCATCTGTCCCAGAAATGAAGAGATGGTCCATGGACCACGGCCACGGCCATGGCCTCTGCGGGCCTCGCCCTGCGCCCCGACTGTTCATCCCGCGAAACCTCGGGAGCGGCAGCACCTCGGAGTGCTTAGCGGTGGACAGAGGCAGATGAAGAAGGCTTGTCGGAGTGAGTTTGTTGGTACAGCTCCCTGCAGGGGAGGCGAATCGTCATTCATTGCTGCCTCTTGGCCTCCAGCCCGTGTTTGATTTGGTTTGGTTTCCCTTGAGTTCCCTGCCTGCTGACTTACCCTCCAGCGCAGGGGTTTCCTCATGTTCTAGGTGTACTTGGGAACCGGTCCCTGAGTGCAAAGAAAATACATCCCTTTGCTTTAGTCCTCCAGGGGCTGTCTTGTGAATAAGAGGGCTGGAGGGTAGCCCCGGGGCAAAGCCCGATGCCCCGCGAGGCCGGCCCAGGTGAGAGGGCTCCAAGCTAGTGTCTGGTGACCTCCCTGAGTACACCAGGCATCTGTGTGCCCAGGACAGGGGGCTGGCTGAGGCTTGGGGTGGAGCGTGCTGTCAGAGACCCTGACGGGGTGCACCTCTCTCTCCCTCTCATGCATGAAAGAAATAAAGAAACTTAGGGACTAGCAGGTGGCATAATGGTTGCATTGCAGGACTTCCACGTCATTGACTATGGTTACAGTCCTGGACCTGGCAGCCCAAAATTTATGCTGGGTGAGTGAGCAGACGTGTCCAAAATCCTGAGAGGACACTGGAGGAGAAGGGATTGCGATGTGGCCATTTCCCCTGGGGGTTGATTTCTTGCTTTCAGTCTCTCTGGTGAGCACATGCACTATAGCGAAATAATAATAATAATAAATAAAAAGAAAGTTGAAAAAGGAAGACGAGAAGCGAGACCTGTCGTAAGCATCGAAAGGCTGCAGAGTACGCGAACTGGCTTCCAGTGGCGGAGGGCACCCGCTTCCTGCAGCTCTCTGGGGGGAGGGCAGGGCGCGGCTCAGCTCACAGGAGACCTTTCATGTCTCTTTGCTCCTAGGAGTGGGCTGTGCCCATCAGCACCACAGGTGGGTCTGTAGCAGTGCCAGGCAAGCAGCTGCACAGCCCAGGGACTTGGAGCGGCGTGCAGCCCTGCTCTCTCTGTACCCCTGCCAACTCACACACACCTGGGTGCCCCCAGCCGCCCGCCACGGCGGCTCTTCCCGCCATGTGCCCTAATCCTCATTGCACCTGCTGCTCTCCAGGCAGCCAGCCCCGTCCCCGCCTCCCCTCCCCGAATAAGGCCTGGGGAGGTTTCAACAAGATCCACGCCTTTCATGCCTGAAACAGCCAACTCCCACTCATTTCATGGCAAATTACGAGGGATTAAGGTTTACTGCGAAGAAAGGCCAGACCTGACAATTAATCAGCTTGGTCATTTGGGGATCAAATTAAATTGGACCTGAGGCCTCGGCTCCAAAGCGGAATCCAATTCTCTCTTTTGGCACGGTGTACGCACTAGACTGAGACCACAGGCCGAGGCGGTCCCCGTCTCCTTCTCGGCAGATGGAGGTCGGTGGGTGGTTTTAAGAGCAGCGGCGAGGTGAGGCAGGTAGCACTGGCTGGGCCTTGTGAGTGAGTGCGGGGCAGTCTCGTTCAGCAAAGACATACTTTGTCCTCCTTTTGTCTAAGAAGTCTCTCAGTCAGGTGCTGGGGTAGGAATTATGTCTAAATTATGTCAGATCTGCGTCTTCGGGGAGGTCGACGTCCAGAAAAGGACACAGGTGTGCTATGAGTATAACGCTATCTAGCACAGGCCGGTAGAGAAGCTTTAGAACCTCTGAATTCCGAGTGCAGGCTAGTGATGACTTCACAGAGGGAGTGACCTCCACGCCGAGCTCAGCAGGATGCCTGGTGGTTTGTACTCAGTCTCCGTGGGCAGGTGCTCTGTGAAGGGACCTGCGGTCAGGAGCTCTGCCTTAGCTGTGTCTGACATGGCTTTGCCCCTCACATTCTGTGCACGTGAGCAGACCACAGCTAAAAGCGGCAGTCACCCTTGGGATCTGCCGGCACACGCGAACAGCTCTCCCGGGGCCAGCGTTTCTCGGGACTGCTGGCAGTAAGTGTGACGGTCTCTCAGGCCGTCTCCGTGCCTTGTGGCTGGACAGACGCACAGCTCATCAGTCCATTGCCTTTCCAGATAGGGCATCTTTACGATGGCGTGAACCCACAGGTGACGTGTAAGCCCTTACCGTGTGCTTGGTGCGATCCATCACCACTTCTCTGAGTCACAGAAGTGCCGAGGAGATGAAAACCAGGCTCTAGGAAGCGTGCTAATTGTAATCATTATGCAGAGGAACCGTCTTGTTATTTTAAAACAGAGTCTCACTTCCAGCAGTCACAGGAGTAGCCACTGAAGTTTTCATGGGGTTGGTGAACTTCCTCTCGGTGAGAGATCACCCCTCGGATAGACCAGGGGGCCTTCGGCCACTTTCCAATTTTTCCAGTTCTCTTTTTGGAAATGAAAGGGATTCTGTTTTTTAGTTCTCTGAGTTGGGCCTGGCTGCCTATCTCGTTTTGGCCAATGAAACATGAGTGGAAATGGCACTTCACCTCTGAGTGAAAGCGTCTCATTGCCAGTCCTCGACTGGTGCCGTCTGTCCTGCCTCACCACTGCGGAAGCCTGCTTTGCGAAGGAGGAGCTTTGCAGAAGCAGCCATGAGGACAGACAGCTTCCCTAAGGACTGTGTGGGCCAGCTGTGTCTTTGCTTCAGTAAAAGTAATTACTGAGCTGGGCTGACTCTATAGCCTAGTGGTTCGAATCCTGGTCCCAGTGGCTTAACAAACACTCTGCGTATGTGTGTGTATGTGCATACCCCAAATCCCGAGGACATGGAGAAACTGTGGCGTGACCACGCCCTGCTGGGAGCGCTTTCTCCCTCCCTCTGGCACGTGCAAGAGCCCTCTGGAAATGAGAAGGCGATGATGAGCCCTTCTGTGTTTCTTGGAAAGTCCCGTGGATTCAGGAGTTGCTTGTCACTGCAGTCCGACCGAGCCTGGGCGACCCTATCCATTATTAACCATGTGAACACACATCAGGGTGGAGAAAGCCACCAGTACTGCCATCCGTGGACTGTCACTGTCACACACAGGCCATCTCTGGGCATTTCTATGTCTGCAAAGGCCCTCCTCATACAGGCCTGCAGCGCTTCGTGTAAATGATCTAGTTTTCATTCTTGCAGCACCCAGGGCTGGAGGTAGCAGTCGTCACAGCTCACGGCCCGGCGGTTTGCAGGGTTCAAGCAGCTTGCCCAGAGTCACACATAGATGGTCAGCGAGAGGCCGACTGCACGATCTCTCCTTCCACCCTCCTGTCTCCTGGATCGCTGGGTTCGATGGTTCCTTCCCGACCGAATCGCACCCCTTTGTCCACAGTCACACAAAGCAGAAACCCACATGCGACAGGGAATTAGCTTCCTTTTCTCCCTGTGGTCTCTAACCACAGTCTCACCTGAATTTTAAATCCAGCTTCTGACAGATGTTTCCCTTCAGTCTGAAAGAAAGCAGACAGGAGAATGGGAACAGAATGGGACAAACTCATCTCATCTCCTAGAAAAACACACCAGGTCAACAGGGGCATCATTATGTTAAGCACAGGTGAGCTTTTTCTGTAATAGATAAACGAATTTAAAAACACGGACTATCAGAAGCTCTCAAAGGGTTGACCACTCTAGGTTTTTCTAGAAAAGACGGCTGTGTCCCAACCAAGGCACATGTGTCAGGCTTAGCTTCCATCATTGCCCAGGGAGTCTTCACAGTGTCCTGCAGAACTGTTTCACTGGTCCCCTGCCTATGGACAAGCTCCCAAGGTTCTCAGATTTACGTAGGTCTTGGCAGTGCCAGGGTTAGCTCTACCAGACAGAGCGAGGGCAGGGACGTGGGAATCTTACCAACTGACAGGTCCCAGTGCCTGGCCGGATGCCTGGCAGGTAGTAAGCCCTTCGTGAAGGAACCCAGGCTCACTAACTCAGACTATAACACACGACAGAAATAAGAACGTGGGCCAAGGCAGTGGTGCAGTGGTAACACACGCACCCACATGCGAAAGGTCCTGGTTCAAGTCCCGGGGCCTCCCAGAGCACCCGGGGTGTGTGCTGTGTCTGCGTTGGGCATCTGAGATGTGGTTACGTAACCCGAACTAAATTGCACAGGTCTATCTGAAGTCCAACCAATTTCTCCCTGTACACTTAGGAGGAAATCCTCCTTGGGTTTTTCTCCTTTATGCACACTCATTAAATATTAGTAAGAAATTTTATTGTTGGGGACAGCAGATGGCATGGTGGTTAAGGCCCTGGACTCCCACATGGCCAACTGTGGTTCAAAGTCCTGAACCTAGTGCCTTGCTTTACTCACTTTCTCTCTCTCTCTTTTCCTCTCTCTCTTCCTCCCTCTCCCCCAGTCAGCATGCATGTCCTGTAGCAAATTTTAAAAAGATAATAATAATGATAAATAATTCTTTCTTAAAAAGAACATTATTGCTATTGCTAACGTGCAACTTGGGGGTGAAGACATCTCCACTAGGGCTTTGTGAGCTCTGGGTGTGATGTGCTAGCTCCTGGGCATGGCTTTCATGCAGGTCGGGGAAGTGCTCTGCTGGCAGGACCTGACTGGAGGCAGCCCAGCTTCCTCCCAGAAGTGTGGTCCACCTGGCTCTGCCACAGTCTTTTTAAAGTGTCCATTGCTTTAAAAACTTATATCGCTCTTTGGGGCCAGCAGGTGGTATGGTGGTTGAGGTGCTGGACTTCCACATGGCTGACCACAGTTTGAGTCCTGGACCCGCGACTTGAAACTCACACCAGGTGCGTGTGCATGCGCGTGTGTGCTCAAAATCCCGAGAGGAGAATGGAGGAGACGAGACTGTGGCATGGCCATCTTCCCGCGGAGGAGGGGTGATTTCTCACTTTGCGTCTCTCAGTCTCTCTGACGAGCACACGCCCTGTAGCAAAAATCTCTCCAAGAGAATAAAGAAAGATTTATTAATGGATATATTCAGTTGCCTGAAGCCTAAAGACCGATTTATCTCATCAGGTCTATAATGGTTGAATTCATTATTTCAAAGTTATGCATTCCCTCCCTGCCGACCCACTAGGAAACACTGAAAGATGAAAGGTAGTCGGCCCCAGCCTTCAGCCCTCTCCTGCTCCATCTACTCCCTTGGAACACTTCCAACGGCTCTGCGTTCAGAGGTTCTAGGTGTAATACTGTTCTTACTCTGAACTGGTTTCGGGTATGTCAAGAAAAGCACTTGAAACACGAGGTCTAAGTGGAGAGCAGGAAATCAAGAGCCATCTGACTGACAGAAATGCA